CAAAGTCTCATTGTGCAGAGGACTCAAATGGCTCCTGTGGTCTTGTCCCGATGGCCGTCTGAGACCAGGTCTTTACTGGGGATCTGTATCTGGGGCTCATCTAGTTGTCCTGGTCTCCGCTGTCTTTCAGGGCTGTAGAGGTCCTTTCTAGGTGCTGATCCACCATCTGGTCTGAATATGTACTGGATCCGGGTGACTGCAGTGACCATCTGATCTGGATACAGACTGGATCTGGTGGCAGCGGTGACCTCGGAATAAGAGAGAAACAGACTAATATTAGCGTAGATGCCATTCTTCTAACGATGTAGCAAGTACATCGGGTGTTATGGGAAGTGTTCCCGGTTCCGGTTGACCTAATTAATGCAGCCTAAAAATCCTTTAACGGATTTGAATATTAGAAGCGTATTAGTGTGTTATGTGTAAGCCAGGTTAAAGAGATGGGTCTTTAATCTAGATTTAAACTGACAGAGTGTGTCTGCCTCCCGAACAATGTTAGGTAGGTTATTCCAGAGTTTGGGCGCTAAATAGGAAAAGGATCTGCCGCCCGCAGTTGATTTTGATATTCTAGGTATTATCAAATTGCCAGAGTTTTGAGAACGCAGCTGACGTGGAGGACTATAATGCAATAAGAGTTTGTTCAAATACTGAGGTGCTAAACCATTCAGGGCTTTATAAGTAATTAGCAAGATTTTAAAATCTATACGATGTTTAATAGGTAGCCAGTGCAGTGTTGACAGAACCGGGCTAATATGGTCATACTTCCTGGTTCTAGTAAGAACTCTAGCTGCTGCATTTTGGACCAGCTGGAGTTTGTTTATTAAGCGTGCAGAACAACCACCCAATAAAGCATTACAATAATCTAACCTTGAGGTCATAAACGCATGGATTAACATTTCTGCATTTGACATTGAGAGAATAGGTCGTAATTTAGATATATTTTTGAGATGGAAAAATGCAGTTTTACAAATGCTAGGAACGTGGCTTTCTAAGGAAAGATTGCTATCATATAGCACACCTAGGTTCCTAACTGATGACGAAGAATTGACAGAGCAGCCATCAAGTCTTAGAGAGTGTTCTAGGTTATTATATGCAGAGTTTTTAGGTCCTATAATTAACACCTCTGTTTTTTCAGGATTTAGCAGTAAGAAATTACTCGTCATCCAGTTTTTTTTTATATCAACTATGAATTCTGTTAGTTTTTCAAATTGGTATGTTTCGCCGGGCCGCGAAGAAATATATAGCTAAGTATCATCAGTATAACAGTGAAAGCTAACACCGTGTTTCCTGATGATATCTCTCAAGGGTAACATGTAAAGCGTGAAGAGTAAAGGCCCTAGTACTGAGCTTTGAGGTACTCCATACTGCACTTGTGATTGATATGATACCTCTTCATTCACTGCTACGAATTGATGGCGGTCAGATAAGTACGATTTGAACCATGCTAATGCACTTCCATTAATGCCAACAAAGTTTTCTAGTCTATGCAAAAGAATGTTGTGGTCAATAGTGTCAAACGCAGCGCTAAGATCCAATAGCACTAATAGAGAGATACAACCACAATCAGATGATAAGAGTGTGATAAGAGATGAAAAAGAGTGTGACTTTTTTCATGTTGTGTGTGTGTTTTGTGGTTTTGTGTGTAGAGTTTTGAGAAATGGAGCCATAGTTTCAAAAACTGTGTAAGCATTTTCTACCAATTGGCAGATGACTTTGTGATGAAGTTTGATTGGACACATGACCTTAGGCATCTGTTATGGCCCAAAGTGTTTTTGTATTTGTCCACCAGGTGGTGTTCATGATTTGGGTTTTCTCCAGAGTGAGCATTGTCAGGAACAGATGTGAAGTGTTACCTGTGATTGTGCTTGGGTTAAAAGATGTTGTTTCAGGCCCTGTCTACAAGAACGCAGTTATTTTTAAACCAGCTTTTTCTATGCAGTTTGGCCGTTCGTCCACACGCAAACGCAGCACTAGGTCACTGAATCCGAACATTTTTGAAAACTCCTGCCAGGGTGAAGATTTTCAAAAACTCTGGTTGCAGTGTTGTCGTGTAGACAGCGAAACCAGAGTTTTTGGCTTTTGACTAGGGATGGGGAGTCGACTCCAAAAGAGTCGATTCCTCTACTCTGAACAGCTCTAGAGTCGGAGCACTAGAATCGACTCTCGGTGTCGACTCCGAAATCGCCGATGTCTTCACTGATTCTTAAATCCCTATAGTGCATGCATGGCAGTTGAGTGCTGTATTATATCAGCAAAGAGTGAACGAAATTAAGGCATGATCGGTTTGCAGTGCAGTTCGTAGCCTATGCTGTGCAGAAGCAGCACGTGCTCAGTGTGCTTTATTTAGTGTGCTCAGTGCTCTGTTGTCACGAATCCTGTCCATGAACTTCCGTCTGCTTGCCACCAGAGGTCACCCCCCATTATACTGACTTTCACATTACACCGACTGTTGCACGTCACTCTGGACTACATTTCCCATCATCCATTGCACTGATTGCACACAGCTGTAACCAATCACACACACACTATATTACACCCACTCAGATCCTTCTCAAACTGCCTAGTATTGTTTAGCGTATATCCCTCTCCTAGAGATAGCTACTTTACGGAGCCAGTTCTCTGCCTTAGTTCCTACTTCTAGTCAAAGTCTAGTCATGGTCTTGCCTTGCCTGTTTTCCCGTGTTCTGATTCTAGCCTGTGTATCTCATTTCTGTATGATCTCTGCCTGCCCTTAAAGCTGCAGTCCGTAACTTTTGGCGCTCTAGCGGTTAATAAATAGAACTGCATGCATCTTGCGGAAGAACATTGTAGCCGGAGCTACTTCTCTCTGTTTATGTCTATGGCGAATCACGCAGGTACTGGGCTACTCTGCAGCGGTAACCACCCGAACCAGTCTAAAATAGTCAGAATATAAACACTTATTATAGGTGTACCGTAGTGATTCAGGACAAGCCAAAAACACGGTTTGGAAAATGGATTCATGGTATACTCGATTATTATATACATTTTGTAAATTTTGAACAAAAAAGTTACGGACTGCAGCTTTAAATAAAATTATATAAATATCAGTTGTCACTTTATATCTGCCAATAATATGTATTTGTAGGATGATATTTAAATGCTTAGTTTTATGATCAAAACATATAATGCAATGCATAATTGAAAAATGAACAAATGTTCCTCAAAAGCCTGATGATCATATTTGATACTGATTCTTCTAAAAAATTTCTTGATAATGAAGTAAAGCTAAGTGTTCATCTTGAAATATTACTAATAATATCAAATTTATTATGTTTATTTTACAAAAATCAGTTAAGATTTCACTGCAAAAAGTGAAGTACAAGCTGAAGGTAGACATTTGTACAATTATACTAAAAGATATCTTACTTGCTAAAAAAGTATAAACTATCAATCAGACAACAGAAGGCATGTAGCAGATTGTGTGTGAAAGGTTTATCAGCAAAGTTTTGATCATGTTGATCATTTGGAGGCCTTGGAGGAGAAATTCATGTATCAGATATGATACAGTAGCGTTATAGGTTTAATGTTTTTGACAAAAATTGTAACTTAAGTGTGTGTGTTTTATAATTAAATATATACTCAAAAGCCCATTTAAACACACATGCCAGTTGGTTTGATATTTTGTTTCTAATGCAGTGAAATTTAATTTTGACTTGCTTATAAGTCTCTGTTTTCCCACATCAGGCTCAGCATTAGGCAAAAGTGCGATGACGCCCATCCCACTGCCTCCTCCACAGATGGTAGCCATGCCCGGTAACATGCCTCCTCCCAGCATTCATGGTAACGGCAGTGCTCATGGGACCAACCAAATGCTGGACTATCTGGAGAGTCAGATGCGCGGCATGGACGTCACCAGCCCGCTTGTTACAGCCACAGCCTGCCATCCCGCTGCAGCACATGCCTCCTCCTCCCCAACACATGCCGCAGCATGTGCCCTTCTCTGCCGGCCCTCCCAGCACGCTCTCCGGCCTGGACAACGGTCCCACCTCACGCAGGGTACTGCCCGGCTCACGAGGAGGACGCCCGCAAGCCTACTCCAGCGGCTCATCCACTTATGGCGCCTCCCAACGCAACGACCGCCACTATCATCGTCCGGCCATCCTGCGCAGCTACAGTCAGGAAGATGTCCTGGACACCCGGAGCCAGTCCAGAGCACACCGTCCTCGCTCGTGTTCCAGGGATGATCTGCTGGCCGACGACCGCCGGGGCCCATCCAGACGAGACGATTATTCTCCTTTGCCCCGCCGCGGTTCGTTGAGCTCAGCTAATGACGAGGACAGCAGACTCGGAGGCACTCGAGGAGGTCGGGGAGGCGGCTGGTCCAATCATCCACCCAGTTACACCGAGTACGAGCCCGGAAAGAAGCCGATGAAGCGGCCTGAACGGTTCTCTGTAAGAGTTGCTGTTAGTTGTTTGTTTGAGCATTGAACGCCGCCCGGTGTCTGTCTGAATGCGCTCATCCATTCACTAACACAATTTTGCCTTTTTAATGTTGGTAATCTCATCTGATCACACCATTAAACTAAAATGTTGGACGTTCTGGTGCCATGATTAGAGTAGGGTTGTTATTTTAGGGTAAATTTCTGGAAACTTTCCAAAAATCCCTGGAATATGCCAAAAAAAATCCTGGAAAGTTTCCGAAATTTGCTGGAAATTTTCCACCTTTTTTGCAACCCTAGATTAGACACTACCGGTCAAAAGTTTGGGATCAGAACGATTTTTAAAGTTTTTTTACAGGAGTTTCTTATGCTCATCAAGGCAGCATTCATTTGATCAAAAATACAGGAAAAAAATTAATATTGTGAAATATTATGACGTAAAATAACGTTTTTCTATTTTAATATACATTAAAATCGAATTTATTCCTGTGATGCAAAGCTGAATTTTCAGCATCATTACTCCAGTATGATCCTTCAGAAATCATTCTAATATGCTGATTTATTATGCTGGAGAACATGATCATCAGGGTTAGTTCATGTAGCTCTAATGCAAATACAAATATACAATACAAATATTGATATTTATGAATTCAACATTCGAAGTTGAACTATTTTCTGTATTCTGATAAAAAAAAGAATGCAAAAAAGTAGCATTTTCACTGGTGATCACTGATGTTTGGACCCCTCTGTACCTACACAACCACACAGTTCATAATCAGTGAGATCTACATCTGTGTGCAGACACATACACACACACCTGTCTGAAGTTCAGTGGGTGTTGTTGATCCTGTGGGTGTGTTGATGTTGATGTTTACACCTCTTCTGTCCTGCAGGATAAAAGTTCTCGAAGTGGCACCCGTATAGTCATCTGACATCTGCATCTGATCCAGAGTGCCTGTAGACCAACTTCAGTGAAGCTTCTGTGTTATGTGCACAGAACAAAGTACATTTGTTTTACTGAACATGTTTGAAGGATGTTACACTGAACATTGATCACTGATTTCTTTGTTTTATATTTTTGTGCAGAGCAGTTTATATTAATGTGAATATGAATATCATCTTCTAGTAATGACATTAGAGGAAGCTGTATTTTAATGATATAGATTTTATAGGTTGCTTGGGTTTTAGGATTTATCTGTGTAAACTAAATTTGTGTCAATATATTTATTAAGATAGTGTTTTGTTTTGTTTTAGCATTTACAGTATAGGGATATAATGCATTATAACACAATAAATGGGTATGAGACTCTTGTTTGCATTGAACGCTATATGACCACTGAGATTCTAATTATGTCTAATAAGTTATTGCCACTAGTTATTAATGAATTCGCTGTTAACTTCAGTGTTTTCAGTCTTTGGCTACTAAACACAAGGAATAGCTTAAACAGATGTCCAGTGTGAAATGTGTATTGATAGTTTTATTGATCAAGCTCAGGTCAAGCTTCTCATTAGTCTTTTTGTAAATAGCATCTTTTGTGTGTCTTTTACAGAACTGGTCAATTTAAAATCAATCATTCTTTCAGCCTTGCATTTTTATATAAACTTCAACTGAATGTCAATTCAATTCAATTCAAGTTTATTTGTATAGCGCTTTTCACGATACAAATCGTTGCAAAGCAACTTTACAGCAAATTAAGTTTCTACAATATTTAGTGGTAGCTTATCAGTGGTGACTGTCAGTTAATAAACATATGGCAGAAATGTACGGGAAAATCAATTAAAGACGTAATCAAACAGACGATGAACACTATTAACAACAATTATTATATGATGCAATCAAACATATAGCAAAATGTGGTAGTTCTGTATTATCTATTTTATCAGTGAAGAAATTCATAAAGTCATTACTATTAAACTGAGGGAATATTTAGATCGGGTGGTGTCTGGTTATTTGTTAATCTAGCCACTGTGCTAAATAAAAACCTTGTCAATCATTGTGTTGCTGCACTACAGCAGGTGAACAGCCTCTGTAAAGGGTTTTGGGCATGTTTCTAATTTGCAAATATGATCGGCAATCTATGAATATGTTTATGCATCATACAGGCAATTTGGTGTAATTCTTCCTTTTCTATCTGCAAAAATAAATCCTGAGGTCTGTATGACATGCTCTCACGTTTGCCTGTGAGTTCATCAGTGGTTCTCAGGCCAATATCAGCTGATCATAGGGTCTCTCCTCACAACATTACATTCATGTTTTCAGCTTTGAGCAAGATGAATGATTTCTCTGAGCTCAAGGTTCAGGACTGTGATTGACATCATGCCGAATTCTATTAAGCGGTGTCGTCAGTCAGTCGTTTCCCATCATGCTTTTGATCGGCGCAGTCGGTGGAGAGCAACTGCGCCCGACTGTATACGATCCGACACAGCCGCCTCGCCGTTGCGAGAGTTTTTTGGCACACGTCAGCATGACATCAGAGCAAGTCGGACACTTTTCTAACCGGCATGCATCTCGCGGTGATCGGTTCTGCGCAGATTTTTGCTCATCTCAAACAAGCCTATTGAAAAAGCAATTATTTTATTTTTAGACTTTTATAAGGCCTTTGATACGGTCGAACACGAGTTTATGTTTGAATCTCTGTGTAGGTTTGGTTTTGGTCATTCTTTCGTTAAAATAGTACAGATTCTTTACAAAAATATTAATAGCAATGTCTCTTTGGTAAATGGTGTTTCTCCTCGGTTTGTGATCAGTAGGGGTATCAGACAAGGGTGTCCCATTTCACCTTTTTTATTTTTATTGGTGGCTGAATTTCTTAATATTTTTATTACTCATTGCTTAGATGTTCAGGGTATTCTAGTAGCGGAACACACTTTTCTAATTAGTCAACTGGCGGATGACACCTGTCTGTTTTTAAAAGATGAGAAGCAGGTTCCTGTTATTTTGGATGCTTTGAATTTATTTTCTAATGCTTCTGGTCTCTCAGTCAATCGAAATAAGAGTGAAATTATGCCCGTTCACAGTCTGGACAAAGATCAAATAGAAGGTATTGAGGTCAAAAACTCTGTAAGATATTTAGGTATTTTAATTAGTAAATCTCCGACTGATAGAATTGTAGATAATTTTTCGCAACGGATACAAAAATCAAAGAATATTTTCAATTGTTGGTTACAAAGAAATTTAACCATTTATGGTCGTGTTTTGATATCTAAAGCGGAAGGTATTTCTAGGATTGTTTACCCAGCTTTGTCTTTATATGTTGACCGAAAAACATGCTCATCTATCGACTCCATGTTATTTAAATTTTTGTGGAAAAATAAAACTGAATATGTTAAAAGGAAGACGCTGATTAGAAATACTTTGGAGGGAGGTGTGAATGCTTTGGACTTTAGTACTCTCAATCAAGTTTTTAAAATTGGTTGGATTAAACGTTGCCTGAATGCTGACCCTAATTTGTTATGGTTTTATATTCCTAAACTGATCTTTGATAAATGGAGGTTTACATTTTTTGTTAGCTTGTGATTTTAGTTGCAATAAACTCCCAGTTAAGCTCGCTAATTTTCATAAGCAAGCTCTGGACGCTTGTAAGCTTGCCTTCTGTCACAATTTTTCCCCTCATAGATGTATTCTATGGAATAATCAGAATGTGCTGCGTGGAAAAAAATCTGTCTTTATTAAAAACTGGTTTGACAAAGGTGTAATTTTTGTTTTAGATTTGTTAAAAAAGGATGGTAACTTCTATTCCTATTCCGAATTTTCAGAAATCTTTGAAGTGGATACCTCACCTAGAGTGTATGAATGGGTTATTAATTCTATTTCACCTAAACTGTTACATTTGGTTAGGGCAAATTGTTACAGATCTTCAAAATGTGAAATGCCAAAAATTTGTATTGGAGGTCTGGAGCTTTCTAATGTTAAATGTAACAATTTCTGGATTAGAAAAATCCTTATTAAGAAGTTTAGTTGTCATCCTA